AGCCCAACCCATCAGAGAGGCCCGTGGGTTCCAGGAGGGTGGTGGCTGTCCTTGGTACAGTCTGAGACTTTTGCTGAGTGGCCTCAGAACTACCACTGTCACCAAGTTTGAATCTGTATCAACCTGGTAAACACCACTTGTTTCTACATGGTGACTCACTGAGAGCATACCATATGCAACTCACATACTGCCAGAGGCTCCGTTAGTGACTGAACCTAACAAACAGCCACATGTGACAGTGAATCTCTAGGTGCCTTGGGCCTTTTGCAGACCTGACCCTGGGCTCAGTGCTGACAGAAGATAGCTTTGCTATTCATCTTGACCCCTCCCATGTGCACCAAGGCCCAGCAGAGGGAGCCACAAACTGTGGATCGCTTTGTGGCTCCAGACAGATAGCCCAGGGCCAGTAACAAGCAGTGTCTGAAATGACCTGCACCATAGTCTCTCTCAAGAAGCCCCAGAACTAACACACCAGGTGATAGACTTCAGGCCACATCAGAGGAGTCAGGTCTTGCATAGCACTAGGGTTAGGGTCAATCTTCATAGTCAGCCAGCCCCAACCATGTAGAGGCCAACAGAATCAAGCCTAAACTACAACAGGAAAGCTCATATAACCTACATAAGATACATTCCTGCAGCACCTAGCTCAGGTGATCAGGGAGACTAGACTACTGAGTCCCATAGGACACCTACTATATATGGTCACCAAACCAAGACATAGCAGATCCACATAATACACAGAAACAAATACAGAGAGGAAGCCAAAATGGAGAGACAAAGAAAAGTGCCCCAAATTAATTAACTGGACAATTCTTCAAAAAAAGAGCTAAATTAAATGGAGGCAACAATCTACCAGATACAGAGTTCAAAACAATGGTTATAAGGATGCTCAAGGAACTTAGGGGAAAAATGAGTGAACTCAGTGAGAACTTAAAAAAAGAGATGATAGACATTAAAAAACAAACAAACAAACAAACAAACAACAACACATAAAAACCATAAAAAAAGAACCAGTCAGAAATAAAGAATACAATATCTGAAATAAAGAATACTCTAGAAGGAATCAATAACAGATTAGGTGAAGTACAGGATGGAAACAGCAATTTGGAAGACAAGGTATCAGAAAATACCCAATGAGCATCAAAAAGAAAAAAAATTAAATGAGGAAAGTCTAAGGGAGCTCTGAGACATCTAGTATAGCAACATCCACACCTTAGGGGAACCAGAAGAAGAAAGAAAACAAGGTATTGAGAACACGTTTGAAAAAATAATGGCTGAAAATTCCCCTAACTTGCTGAAGTTCAAAGTCACATAAGTCCAGAAAATGCAGAGAGACCTAAACAAAGTGAACCTAAAGAGACCCACATCAAGACACATCAGAATTAAAATGCAAAGGTTAAAGACAGAGTCTTAAAAGCAACAAGGGAAACACAGTTAGTTGCTTACAAGATTGTTCCCATAAGACTGTCAGATGATTTCTCAACAGAAACATTTCAGGCCAGAAGGGATTGACACAACCACAATGGTATGAAACTAGAATTCAACCACAAGAAACACACACACACACACACACACACACACACACACACACACACGGAGGCTAAAGAGCATATTACTAAACAATGAGTGGGGGCCTGCTAAAGAGGAACTTATTAGATGAGGAGGGACTGAAAGTGGGAAAATCCAGGAAGAAGTCTGCTGCATAAATCTAGATAGGAAACCCTGGAAGTCAGAGTGGTGGTAATGGGAACTCTGGCATTATGACCCAAAGTAGAAACAACAATGTCTGCGGTATCAGGGGAAGTTAGCCAAAAATCCTGGCTCTATCATCTGTAAAGGATTTGATATCAGGCCTGTTATTATGTCTGTCATAACATGAGATGCCTCATATTTTCATTGGGCATTCTAATGGGTGTGACCACCTAGAGTAGTGGTTCTCAACCTTTTTAATGCCGCAACCCTTCATGTTGTGGTGACCCCCAACCATAAAATTATTTTCGTTGCTACTTCATAACTGTAATTTTGCTACTGTTATGAATTGTAATGTAAATATCTGTGTTTTCTGATAGTCTTAGGCGACCCTGCTAGCAGTTCTCAACCTGTGGGTCATGACATTGGAATGGTTGAGAACCGCTGTACTAGAGGGTATTGTGCTAAATGAAAAAAGTTAGTCAGGGAAACACAGTACCATATTCTTGCACTTATATGTGGAATCTAAAGAACAAAACAAAATAAATGAGCAAACAAAACAAAAACACTCATAGATACAGAGAACAGACTGATTGGTGGTAGCCAGAGGGGAAGATGTTTGGGGGGCAGGTGAAAAAAATGAAGGGATCAAGAGGTATGCATTGGTAATTATAAAATAGTCATGGGATGTAAGTATAGCATAGGCCCTATGCCATAGGGAATACCGTCAATAATATTGTAATAACTAAGTATGGTACCAGTTGGGTACTGGAAACATTAGGGGGTGTCACTTTGGAAAGTATATAATTGTTTATATAAATGTGCAGTATACTGTACATTTGAAACTACCTGTGGGTCCACAAGTTAAAATTGAATGTAACCTGTAATTAAAAATAATATTTTTTAAAAAGAACTGCCCAGTCAATGTCTCAATAGGTGAGCATCTTTGGTTCAATTCCCGGTCAGGGCATATGCCCAGGTTACAGGCTGGATCCCCAGTAGGGGGCATGCAGGCAGCCAATTAAGGTTTCATCAATGTTTCTTTCTTTGTTGTTCGTGACCCACAGGTTGAGAATCACTACTGTAGAGCCTAAGACCATCAGAAAACACAGATATTTACATCACGATTCATAACAGTAGCAACATTGCAGTTATGAAGTAGCAACAAAAATAATGTTATGGTTGGGGGTCACCACAACATGAGCAACTGTTTTAAAGGGTCATGGCATTAGGAAGGTTGAGAACCACTGGCCTAAAGATAATGCACATTAAGAATAGCAGAAGGAAGTTACTAATTATTGATATCATGAATAACAACAGGCTGAATCTAGTATATATGGTGAGAAAAGAAACACAATATGGTTAATAATAAATGTTTTTGTTAATGATTATAAATCAATGTTATTTCAGTTAACAGCTGGGAAATCTTTATTTTATTTTTAAAAAATATATTTTATTGATTTTTTTACAGAGAGGAAGGGAGAGAGTTAGAAACATTGATGAGAAAGAAACATCAATCAGCTGCCTCTTGCACCCCCCCCCCCCACTGGAGATGTGCCCACAACCACGCTACCAAGGTACATGCCCTTGACCGGAATCCAACCCAGGACCCTTGAGTCCGCAGACTGACGCTCTATCCACTGAGCCAAACCAGCTAGGGCTGGGAGATCTTTAATGTAACCGCTTACTTATTTTATTTTCAGGAGGCAGATATTTCACCTCCCTCTCAGAGTCATTCTAACCCTTAAAGAGAAAGCATGAAGGACTAGGGTTCCCAAGGAAAAGGCTTGTCCAGGAGGAATCAGGGATGGACTCTAGGCCTACCAGTGATATGCAACTAGGGTCCACAAGAGCACACAGGCTGATTTCATGAGGATGATATTTCGCAGCTTTTGTTCATATTATCCCTGATGTCACTTGATGGGAGTCAGTACCCTGAAGACGCCAGAGAATCTTTGGGTGAATTTTAGGAAGCACCACACTCCTGTGAGAATGCAAAGTTGGCTAATCAACTCACTTTGAAGTGAAACGATAAAGGTATTAAGGGGGGGGGGGGGAGAAAAGGAGCTCATAGACACAGACAACAATATGATGATTACCAGGGGGAAAGGAGCATGGGTGGAGGCAGTAGACCGTAAAGGGGGGGATAAATGATGATGGAAGAAAACTTGACTTTGGGTGATGAACACACAATGCAATGTACAGATGATGTAGTATTATAGAATTGTACACCTGAAACCTACATATTTTTATTAACCAATGTCACCCAAATAAATTCACTAATTGTTGTGTTTTGTTTTTTTGTTTTTTTTTAAAGAACGATATACGGCGCTTTCCTTAAATACTCCTTTCTCAGAGGGGGCACATACTGACGCATTGCCCTTTGAGGCAGACCAACACAAGCTTCAGGGACAGAAAGGCCTGTGAGCAGACAGGTGGAATTTAGGTACTTGGAAAGGAGATTCAGACAGAGGAAGCGGTGAGCAAAGACCTGGGCTGGGTAACTTCTGAATATGCTCCAAATCACATTCAGATTACCGAATGAAAGGAAGGAGTAGAACAAATCGGGTATTCAGGCAGACTGGAGCCTGGAAACCTCAGAGCCAACCTATTCTCCACCCTCTCCCCATTTCCCACTTTCACCCAATCAGACTCTAAAGCCTGTCCATCATCACCCCTAAAATGCCTTTCTGCCTCTCCATCTCCTTGGCAACCGCCTTCAGGCTCATTTTCATTCCCTCTTGCTTTTCATCCTAATTGCTTCCTGAGTGACCTTCCAGACAATGGGCTGCTCCTCTGTGAGGCAGCCAATCAGTGGCCTGCTTGATCATCCCGTGAATACAGGACATTTTAAAGGCTCTGCGTCTGTTGTATGCTGCTTGCTTTTGCAGTTCTGTGTGCTCTCATCGCCATGTTATCTGGGTGTTAGATGGGCCCACGGATTAATTGGCATACACACGATGCCTGCTGAAAACAGAGCCAGTGAATGAATGCGCTGTGTAAACCAAGACAGGAAAGGCTGATTCCTTCCAAGAATCCACGCCCCTTCCCCACCACACACACATACACACACACCCTGCCTGCCTTCCCTGGGAGTGGAGAAAGAGACCCATTCCTTCCTAAGGCCCGCGAGCCAATCCTGTACCAGATTGAAAAAAAAAAAGACATCATCTCTTTGCATTTCTCCTCTGCATCCCGCGGACCTCGCCAATCCCAAGCCTTCATCTGGGATCTAACCCCACCCCTGCAGGCCAGCCCCCTTTCCTAGCTGACAGCGGAAGTCTGGGGGCAGGAGCCGCCCACTTCCTTCTGAGAGTCAGGGGTGTGCGTGGCAGGGGAGGCGGGGCCAATCCTGCCCAGCATTCTCGCGCGCTCGCGGCCGGGGCGCGTGCAGGTGGCGGTCGCCCCCGCAGGTGGGCTTGCGTGGGAGTGCGCGCGGCGGCCGAGACCGTCTGGCTCCCTGCTACAAAGACTCTCGTGGCGTGGGTGGCTTCATCGGTAGCCCCTTCAAAAGGCAGAGACTGTCCCTTTCTGCAGGGACGATAGGCATTCTTCCCTAGGATCGCTGCAGGCTCAGCGCCCCCAGCCAACGACATGCCTCGGGGACGAAAGAGCAGGCGCCGCCGCAATGCCAAGGCCGCAGAAGAGAACCGCAACAACCGTAAGATCCAGGCCTCGGAGGCCTCGGAGACCCCGATGGCCGCCTCCGTGGTCCCGAGCACCCCCGAGGACGACCTGAGTGGCCCCGAAGAAGACCCCAGCACCCCGGCGGAGGCCTCCACCACCCCCCAGGAGGCCTCCAGCACGGCTCAAGCGCAAAAGCCCACGGTCGCCCGGAGCAATTTTCAAGGCACCAAGAAGAGTCTCCTGATGTCCATCTTGGCCCTCATCTTCATCATGGGCAACAGCGCCAAGGAGGCGCTGGTCTGGAAAGTGCTGGGCAAGTTGGGGATGCAGCCGGGCAGGCAGCACAGCATCTTCGGCGATCCGAAGAAGGTCGTCACGGAAGAGTTTGTGCGCCGAGGGTACCTGATTTACAAGCCGGTGCCACGCAGCTGCCCCGTCGAGTACCAGTTCTTCTGGGGACCTCGAGCCCACGTGGAATCCAGCAAGCTGAAAGTGATGCATTTTGTGGCAAGGGTGCGTAACCGCTGCTCCAAGGACTGGCCGTGTAATTACGATTGGGATTCGGACGATGATGCCGAAGTTGAGGCTATCCTCAACTCAGGGGTGGCAGATTACTTCGCTCCTTAGGGAAATCTGGCGCACACCCCCAGGGGTGTTGGGGGGCGGGGCGGGGTGTAAAGAGCTTCACAGGTACCCCAAGGAGTAGATCACCGGGGTTCTCAGTTGGATGTTGATGGGGAAGCGGGCGCGCTGTGTTTGTATTTGTGATCAGTGCTAATAATAGTTTGAAGTGCGACAAAGACCTTTTGCTTTGGCTATTGTAAAATTTTCTTCGCTTTAATACGATGTTGCTTAAGGTCACACGATATGTTTCAAATACGATGGAAGAAAAGGTGTCTTTCTTTTTCTGTCTTTTGATTTGGTGTAACAGTTTTGCTCACGTTAAACAATGAAGCCTTTTTCATCATATTCTGTGATCTGGTACCTGTTTTATAGCATTGAATAGTCTGTTCTTTGAAATAACCAGTAAACTGTGAAAGAAGGATGGGGCGGTGGGGGTGGCGGTGGGGGTGGGGAGGGGAAGGGTTCATTTATGTCTGACCTATCTGAAAACCTTTGTGTCTGCTGTTGTGTATAGAAGACTTAAGACTTACCGTGATGTTGCTTAGTTATTGCAGAATATAGGGGAAAAAATAAAAGCATAATATCGAGGACACTTTGCTCATTTATTGACCACCAGTCATGTGTGAATCACCACTGTACATCCTGAAAATACTCATTGGCACACAGCCCTCCGTTCTAAAGAATGGTATAGATTACATGGGAAAGGAATATATGAACTGGCAGTGTGGTAAGTGCTGTACCAGGGATGAGCTTGGGGTGCCATGAAAATGGAGAAAAGCTATCTTGGGTTGGAACAGGAAGAAGACATCAGAGGGAGCTATAAAAATCCAAGAGTTGGCTTGGGGCGATTTGAAAGGGGCATCAGAGCATACTATGAGAATTCTGTACACTGGGTACTTTTGGGATGCTTAAACCAGCTGGGTGGAAGTGACATTGGCCAAGGGAAGGGAGCATCATGGGGTGCAGTGGAAATAGAAAGTACACCTAAATCAGCTGGACAGCAGGGCAGAGGAGAGAGGGCTACTTGCAGGAAATAGGACATGGTGAGGCACTGGATAGATTAAAGAGGAGACTGTCAGAAAATTCTGGGTGATATAACAGCCTGGAGTCTGAAAATCATATTGGAGTTGGGGAAAGGAGTAATAGGGAGGCACTAAAGGCAGTGTGGACATTAGGGAAAACACACTTGTCATTGAACTATTAAGGACATGTCAAGATAAAGTGGAGAACAAGAAATGAGATGGGAAGGAGGTGAGCAGGGTCTAGGACATCAAAGGGAGGGAGTTATGTCTAGGTATATTGTTACTAATAATGATAATTCTAGAATAATGGGAAGAAATGGCTCCAAAAAATGCATACACTCTTGGATGAGGCAGAAGAAGATACAACTGGGGGAACATCTGAAAGGTGACCTGCCATTTCTCTCAGGAACTACCCTTGGTGAGAGTGTACAACTTGTTTGAAAAGTGCAATGTGCGTGTATGTCCACGTGATGGGGCAGAATTAGCATTCTGACTGTCTCCTTCAGTCAGTGTGGCAAGCCCAGAGGACCATCTGGCATGGTGGTGGCCCCTGGTACATACTAAGTCATGTGGGATCTGCTTCCTATCCTCCTCCAGATTTCAGACTAACCTCCTGGTACCAAGACTTCAATGCCCTCCTCATCCATCCTATCACCGGGCCTTTGGAAGTCTCTACCTCACCCTGAAGCAAAGGTGGAGATGTGAGAAAGGAGGAGACTGTCAGATAATTCTGGGCGATATAACAGCCTGGAGTCTGAAAATCATCCCTCAACTTCTTAACAGCTACTGGCAAACAACACACATAAGGAGCTGTGCCCCCCCCCAAAAAAAAAGTGACCACATTTACCCCCTAAAACTCAGCACTTGATGGACAAAGTCCACTGATAGGAACACAAGGAAGGGTGCCCCACCTGGCCTTGTGGGGCCCTGAGGCCACGGCTATCACACACAAAAGAGGGGCCAGGATCCCTTCCTCTTCCTTTGCCTACAGTCAGTCCTACTCTGCCTCCTGCTGTGTGCAAGGTCAAGTCCCTGGGACAGGCTGGCTAGCAAGTGACTTCCTGACAAGAGTTCAGGGACCCACAGAATGAAGCCTGCAGGCTCAGGAGGCTTTAAAGGGAAGCAGGAACTATGACCCCACCAACCTCAAATTCAGACAGCGAACAAGGACCTAGAGGGCCCCCTAGGATTCAGGCAGAGTGACAGCAACTGGGCTGCCCTGGAGGGGCCATGTTTCTCAATACCACTTCCAGATGTAGACAGGTGTGAATCCCAGGTTCAGATCCCTAAGAGACTTTCCTGTCTGGAGCCACAAGGGAAACAGGTGACCTGTCCCAGACAAGGCCCCAGTCCATCCCCACAAACACAGAGTGTTTCCCTGCAGGCCACCTGCGGTCCCTCTCTGCCTGCCACAGCGCTCACAAGGGCCTTGTCTACTGAAGACACCGGAGGCGTCAGCGCAACAGGCCTCAGGAACCCCGAATGCAGCCCGAGTTCTCTTGGGGACAGAGCTGACTACAAATCCCCCCTTTCATAGACAGGGGCTCACAGAGGGCAGGCGGGACAGGCCAGGAGCTCTATTGGCTAGAGCGTCTTCCCCCTCCACCAAGCTTGAGGAGAGCTGCAGAGCAAAGATGTACTGAGGATCTCCTCTGCACCAGGGGCTGGCCGTATATCATCTCTGCCAGGTCAGTAAAGTGACACACACACACCAATTTATAGCACGCACCAGCTAGCTCAGGGAAAAAACACTGCCCGTTCATTCCAGTAATGTGGGTAGGATGGGAGAGCAGCGGGTCACCGTGGACATTGTGCTGTGACCCCCCTTGCCAGTTGGCTGAACACACACACACACACACACACACACACACACACATGGGAGAAGATAGCTACGTGCAGCTGCGAGCTGAAAATGTAACGTGGAAAGGGGAGGGGAGGGGAGGGTCTGCAGTTTGGCCTTCAGAGCTCAAAGTCCGATAACAAGGCGGCTACTCTTCTGTGATGTTACCAACAGCTCAGCCCCTTCCTGGGACCGGAGAATGGTCAGCGTTCCTGACAAACACGCCCGGAGCGGGTCAGGGTCCGGGCAGAGCCACCAAAGCAAAGCATGTCCTGTCTTGCTCTGTCCTCAAAAAGTATTTCTCTTCTGAGCAATGGACCCATGAAGGCTTCTTATCTCCTGACAGCCTTGTTCCATCCTCCAGGCTCCCGGGGTCTGTAAGGAAACTTATCTGTGGTTGGCAAGGTGAATCAGACAGTGGTGGCTCCATTGTTCCTCCATGCCCTTCCCCCTCCTAGATCCTGTCTGAGTCCACGTTCCCTATGACTCTGCTGGGCAGTAGCCGTCCCAAGACCTCCATGGTTATTTGCAAGCATGGGTCAAGAGCTTAACTCGGTCAGAGAGCCAGTAAAGGGGAGAGAGGGTGGGTCATGCGACCCCCTGCATGGAAAGCCAGGGCTGCTGACTCCTGAGGGCCCAGGCAGGAGGCTCCACAGGGAACTGCAGAGGGTGGAGTGATCTGGCCAAACACAGCCATGAACGAGTGACCGCCCTAGGCCAATCGCCTCCCCCCTGGCCTGGAGGTGTAGTGAGTCCTCCCCCCACCCCCCACCCCGATTGGTGCTGCAAACAGTTATCCTTCAACTGATGAGCTCACCACTGCACAAGGGCTGCACTTCCAGGGCCAGGGAATGGACAGCAGGGCGGAGGGAGAGGCAGGAAAGGGAGAGGCAGGAAAGGGGGCTCCTGGAAGGAGGGGAGGGAAACAGAATCTTCATGGTTTCTTCTCTTTCCCACAAATCCCCACACTCTCACAGTCTGTGAGCATCCAGATGGGAACCAGGCTGGGAGCCTCTGCTGTGTCAACCAACAGCCTAAGCAGCCCCACCACCCAGCAGAGTTTCCAGGGAGTGAGTTAGAAAGATGCAGCTTTAGTGGCCAGCAGACCTCTGAAGTGCATTGAGATTCTGGGTCCTAGAACCCCCAGTTGTGTAGGAAGCTCAGGTAGAGAGAGCCCCACGCCCCCAGTGCCCAGCAAGACTGGCAGCTGCCATTCCCAGCTCGCCTAAGCTGTGCCAGCCACTTTGATGGCTGCTGCCATGTCTCTAACTCTTGTACCAGTCAGCAAGGTGGGCGCCCCAGGCCATGCTTACAGAGGGAGAAGCTCAGGTCAGATATCAGAGGCAGGTAGCTAGTTCCCCTGGTAGGTCACTGAAGGCCTTGGACATGGATTCAGGGCCAGCCCAGTCCAGAGCCCCAGCAGTTTTACTAAAACAACCACTGCATCACAGGGACACCGGGCACTCCACCCGGCCCCGGGAGTTTTCTGTCTTCACAGTCCGCACAGCCCTGCCAGGTGAGGAAGAGCACGCTGGAAAGGGCAGAGGGGTGGGACTAGGAAGCCAATGAGGCATTTGGGGATCAGAGTGAAGGTCCTTCCTGCTGATTGGGTGCTGGCCCAGCTACCACGTGTCCTTGAGGGGTTGCCACGTGTGGACGGAGGATTTCTTTCCCAGACAAGTATGTCTCTCCCATCCCAGCACATGGCTCAGCCACTCCGTTGATCTTCAGATCCGAGGTCCTGGCTCTCTCACAGTGGACCCACCAACCAGCAGACTTTCTGGGCCTGCAACCTTGTTAGCTGATCCCCCTTTCCATCCAGAAGGTACAAAGGCCACATAACTCTTACCTTGAGCAGAGCAGGAGCCTGGGGGGAGGCTCAGGCAGCCAGCACTGGGTGTCAGAAAGGCAGGCTGAGGGGTGTGCTCTTTGGCCCAGGCTGTGGTCTTATACTCAGCAGTCAGGGGCAGAGGACAGACCACAGCCCTGGAGGAAGGCAGATGTGGATGCCGCCTGGTCACGTGTCCCCTGGAGGTGGGTAGCGGCCAGGCTCCCTCTGTCTCCTTCCTTTGGCAGGAGCACAGGGCCCCCGCTCTCTGAGGGCAATGGTTTTGACGCAGTGGGGCTGCTGGAGATCAGTGGTTGCCATGAAGATGTAATGAGATCTGAAGCAGGGCACTGCAGGGCTTGCCATGCGGGAACAGTGCAACACCAAAGAGCATAAAGAAGAATGGCTCTGGAGAGTCCAGGGCTGGGAGAACAGGCCTTGGGGGGGCTCATGCTCTGGGCTGGGAGGGCTCGCCACCCAGCAGGCACAGAGCTCCCTCAGGGCAGATTAAAGCAGGAGGCAGAACCCATAAATAGCTGGTGAAAAGGAGGCCCCGTTCTTGACAGGTCGGTTTTTGCCGCAGTTTATGACTAATGACACCTTAACCAATGTTATTTCAAAATAAGCAGTCCACGAGAAATGCCCGAAATCCCTCCCGCAACTCCTATGAAGGAGACTCTTGATCTATTCTCAGCCCACAAGGTCTCAAAAGTAACTGGGCCCACGGTATTTTGGATGCCGAGATTATCTAAGAATTCATCCATTCACTCATTCAACACGTTTTCAAGGGCCTATTTGTGCCGGCCACAGTTCCCGTTGCCTGGGAAACATACGTGACACATCGCAGGCTCTCTTGCTGGGAAACAGGAAATTGAAGGTAAACCTTTTCAATAACCAA